CAGCCCCATCATGTCTATGGGGCTGGCTAGAATTGAAGTTTTTTGAAGCTCGCGAGATGGGCCGCGACCGGGGGGCAGCAGTTTTCTCGTCCGTTTTTGGAGCCCGTTCGCGCGGTCCTGCGGCGGGGGACAAGCGCCCCTGGACGGCAGCAGGCGATTGCGGCTTATGTTTGCAAGTCCTTTTGGACTCGGGGCAACGTCTGGAAGGGTGGGCGCAGTGACTCCAGATGATGCCATCTTTGCCAGGGCCTTCGAGGCACGCAGCATCACCGTTTTTGTTAATGTCCAGCGCTTGAGGATGCTAGGATGGAGGCGGCTGAGGAGTTCCCGCGAATTCGGAGGCGACCCTCTCGTCTGATGCTACGCCTACTCCGACGGCTTGGGTGTTGGCCCCCCCCCGGGTGCAAGAGCTATGGTTGGGTTGCGTTCTGAGTGCTTATGGGGGTTCTTCTGAAAGCTGGCATAGGCCCCCTGGGCGGACGCAGATTCTGTGGCACGGTGCTCAGCGGAGCTTATGGGCTTATGGGGGATCTTGCAGCATGCAGCTCCGCCGATTAGGGTGGGAGTTGGCAGCGCCACCGTAATGAAAGGTTGTGCCAGAGGCGAGGTGTGGCGCACGCGCAGGATCCTGCGGGCCTCCTGGGCGTCGAGAGGCTCGACGTCCTCGGGAGTGCCCAGTCCGACAGAGGCCGATCTCGGAGCCCAGTTGGATGGCGTGCCGCAGTGGCTGAAAGCTGCGCGGAGCGAGCGCTCTGCTGACGTTTGCAACGTGTTTGACATTGTGGCCGGCATGACCTTGCGTGTTGGCGCATTTTATGATACGGCGGGCAGGGTGCATGTGGTTCCTTGGGTTGGTGCGAGGCGCGGGGCCAGAGGCTTGCTGGGACCTCCCCCTGGGACCACTCCTCGCGCCCTGCTCTGGGAACGATAAGCCTGGCGGTGTCATACTGCAGGTTGTGGCAGGCGCGCATTTGGCGCGAGAAGTAAGAAGAGGTTGTTCCGCGCGCCCTGTCGTCGAGAACCCTCCTGCGACTCTCGGTTTGTCCCCGCTGCTGCGGCTGGCGCGAGGCCAACTGTGCGCCCGCGTGTCCTCTTGCGTGCGGGCAGCTGCCTGTTCTGTGGCAGCTGTGGGGCCTTTTCCAGTGGGCGAGCCAAGAGGATCCTGTTCGCTTGCGACGGTAAACCTGCCAACTCGAAGACCAGGTGCCGTCGACGCAAGCATCTCAAAGGCGAACGCCCCTACGCGGGGGCGAGGATTTCAGATTTCAGACGGGCCTGCGGTGCGGCTTTCGCCGAGCGAAGCGGCTGAGGTCAGCGAGACACTGCGGGGCGCTGAATAGCGGCGGGGGGCGAAAGTGGCAGGAGGCGCCACCCCGGGCGCCAGGCGCCAGCTCTTGCTCCAGCATCGTCCTCGTGGTGGTGTCGTGTGGTGGGTGCACCCGCTTCTGCTCGAGCATCGTCCCCTTGGTGGTGCTGGGTGCCAGGTGCACGCGGCGGCTCTTTTGCAAGCCGCAAGCCTAAGCCACTTTCGCCAAGCGAAGCGTCTGAGGTCCGCGAGACACTGCAGGGCGCTGGGTAGCGGCGGGGGGCGGAGGTAGCAGGAGGCGCCACCCCGTCCGCTCCAGCGCTCCCCCTTCAGGCCTCGGTTAGCAGCGGAGTGCAGCCAGGTGAGTTCAGGAAGAAGAAGAAGATTCCTCTTCCTCCTACCCCTTATCCTCTTCCTGTCCTTCCTGCTCCTTTCTGTTCCTCCTCCTCCTTTCCCGTTGAGGACAGGGGACAGCACGGCCCACCCGCACCTCCAGCCATGACCCCCGCTCCCGACCTGGTGATCCAGGAAGCCCGGACTGGGGCTGGGGGTGGCTTTTTGGGGTGGGGGCAAACAGCCTCCTTCGTCTCAACCAGGATCCCCTGGGATCCCCTGGATCACCGGGACGGGAGTGGGGATCCTGACTGGGGGTGGGGATGGGTTGTACTGTCCTCATCCTCCTTCTCTTTTGTTATCGCCTCCTCCTGTTCGTCGCCGTCGCCCTCCTCCTCCCCTCCACCCCCTCTTGCTCCTGCTTTTGCTCCTCCTCCTGCCCCTCCTCCTCCTCCTCCTGCTCCTCCTCCTCCTCCTCCTCCTCCTCCTCCTCCTCCCTCTTCCTTTTGGTGGCGATTCGACAGGGTCGAGGCCAGAGTTCTCTCTCAGTCTTCGGCGCCCGGGGGCCGCTCCTGGGCCGCGGGGCCGCCAGAAAACGGCTCCGATGCCGGGAGGGGGAGGAGGGTGGGCGGAAGGAGGGGGAGGCAGAAGATCGGGCCGGACGAAAGAGAAGATATGCAGAGACAGTCGGGGGGTACAAATTGTGCTGCATGCAGCTGGTTTCGGTCCCGGCGGCCCGCCGCCGGGCGCGTCCCTCGATACATACGCGTCTCCGGCGGCGGGGGGCGCTGGAAATTAGCTCCGTGAGCTGATTCGGTAGCCCCTTCTTGCTAGCCCCCCTTTTGTCCGACCCGAGAGAGGCAGGAGGAGGAGGAACAGGAGGAGGAGGAACAGGAGGAGGAGGAGGAGGAGGAGGAGGAGGAGGAGGAGGAGGAGGAGGAGGAGGAGGAGGAGGAAGAGGAGGAGCAGGAGGAGGAGGAGGAGAGGAGGAGGAGGAGGAGGAGGAGGAGGAGGAGGAGGAGGAGGAGGAGGAGGAGGAGGAGGACCACGGATCAACCCGACTGTTGCGTCTTGACGATCTTGGATCGTGCCAGAACGCCAGCCTTGGGATTTCAACACCGCGAACCAACGGAACTGTTGCACCCGCGAAATCTTGAATTTTTCTAAAACAACATTTCTGGTACGTTGATCGTGGGATTCCGTGAAACTCTTGCAAATGTCTTAAAACGAAATGTGCGCGGCGCTGAGGCGAGAGCCACATTTTGGAAACGGGTGATCCTCAATCCGTGAAGCTCATGCAAAGATCTAAAACACACATTTGCGCGGCGCTAAGGCGGGAACCACATTTTGGAAACCACCCGCCCTCCATCTGTGAATCTGCTTTGATTTGTTAAGTTTCGGAATCTTTGCAAACAAACCTTCGAAGGATTGCAAAAAAACCCTTCGAAGGTTTTTTTTTGCAATCCTTTGCAATCCTTCGAATTGGTGAGGAAGTCTCAGGCGACACGCCTGGCCGGCCCTCAAAGCTGGCCTCGGTGTGCGACAGGGTGAATCTGTTCATAAGGGAGAGGAGTTGAAGATGAGGATTCGGATGATGATGCGGATGATGATGAGGAGGGGGAGGAGGAGGAGGAGGAGGAGGAGGAGGGGGGGGGAGGAGGAGGAGGAGGAAGAGAAGAGGAGGAGGAGGAGGAGGAGGAGGAGGAGGAGGAAGAGGAGAAGGAGGAAACGCAGACGGAGGAGGAGGAAGAGGAGGAGGAGGACGACTAACAATGATACTAATACGATTTGAATATGAGAGGACGAATGCGACGATGAGCCGTACTGATAATATGAAGAAGACGAAACATACTACTAGTAATAATAGTGCCAGTAAGAGCGTGACTACTTCTCATACGTATACTCATATGAATCATAATGATATCATTATCCATCATGATGCTGGTGATACTAACGATGCGAGTAATAATATCAAGGGTAGTGCGACGAAACATGATACTATTACTACTGATTCGAAGAAGGAGCATTTTACCCGAAAGAAGGATGATTAAACATACTACTATTCATAATCATACTACTAATACTAATAATTGCACGACGCGTGCTAGTAAGACGAATAACCATAAGAGGGTGAGGAGGAGGAGGAGGAGCCTTTGACCCTGGGGACCTTGTCGATGGTAGACTTGTTGCCTAGCGAGAGCTCTTGTGCTTTGGTGGTTTTGCTCTTGCTGTTGCTGCAGTGCGACCCCGCTTTTCTCCTTTCCTTTCGATCACCCCTCGCTGCCAGCCATGCCCCCGCCCGTCGTGGGGTTGATTCAGCTTTTGGTCAAGTCCTGCAGCATCGCTGGACCTGGGCCACGTAAGACGGGGGAAACGCCAACGTGGATTAGGGCGCGTGGTTTAGCGACGGGCCCCGCTGCCATACATAATCGGCGCGATCAAAGAGTGGGTTTCCAATTACGGCCCCCCCGTCGGATGCCGAAAAGTAGTTTCTTTGGGACCCTGTTAGAGCGCTCTTGAAACCTCCTTGGAGCCTTCTGGAACCCTTCTTGGGGCTCTCTTGCTTTAGCCATCTTGGAGCCATCTGGAGGCTTCATAAGCCCATCGGAAGCGAAAAGACCAGACGGCAAACCACATGTTGCTCTTTAGGTTTTGGACGGATTTTGGCATCTCGGGGGCGTCCGTTGAAGGCTCCGTGGGCATTCGGAGCTGTCTTGGGACTGTCTTGGGGTCTCTTGGAGGCATGATGGGGCTACCTTGAGCCATCTTTGGTAGATATTTGAACTATCTTTGGGCCCGTCTTTGGCCATCGTGGGCCATCTTGGACGCTCAAGCGCCTCGCGGGGCGAGGGTTCCAGACCCAAGGAGAAGGGGCAGGGGGAGACTTCAACCTCTCCCTGAAGGAGAATCAAAACATTGAAGTCACGAACTACTCTCTAGAAGGCAGGTCGGATTGGGGTGGTAGCTGGACTGTGCAACCTTCTGTTCGCACACGATGATGCTTGGAGCATGGGCAGACGCATTGGCGAAGCCAGCCGATCAGCGAACACTGACTATAGGCCCCGCAGTTGCGGATAAGAGCGACGGGGCGGGGGTGTGGGGGGGGTCGTCGGCAGTTTGCGAGGCTCAGAAGTAAATTACAAGAAGCACGCCGCAGGCGCTGGTTGGTAACGTTGCGCAGCGAGCCCGCCGCAGGCGTCCATTCTCGTCAAGTTCATGGGGGTGGGTGGCGGATGGGTCGCGTGCAGGATGACGATGACAACAATCATTTTGCGAATGTTCGCTCTTCGTCGCTCGCGCCGCCCGGGGCTCTGCCGCGACGCCCCTCTTTGCCCTCGCGCGCGGTCGCCTGCGCCTGAAGGAGGCGGGGACCAGGCACGACGCCGGCCTGGCGGAGCTGAGGTCCCTTGTCGAGGCCGAGGGAGGGCTCCTCCTGCTCCTGCTCGTCTTCCTTCTGCTTGCCGTCGTCGTCGTCGTCGGCGGCGTCGTCGGCGTCGTCGTCGTCGTTGTCGTTGTCGTGGTCGTGGTCGTGGTCGTGGTTGGCGTCAGTGTCGGCGTCGGCGTCGTGGTCGTGCTCGTGGTCGTGGTGGTCGTCGCGCGTCCGCGTGGGGGTTGTGCTCGTGGTTGTGGTGGTGGTGGTGGTGGTCGTCGTCGTCGTCTTCGTCGTCGGCGTCGTCGTTGGTGGCGGCGCCGTCGTCGTGGTCGTCGTGGTTGTCGTCGTCGTCGTCTTCGTCGTCGGCGTCGTCGTTGGCGGTGGCGTCGTCGTCGTGGTCGTCGTGGTTGTCGTCGTCGTCGTCGTCATTCTGTCGTGGTCGTGGTCGTGGTCGTTGTCGGCGTCGTTGTTGTCGGCGTCGTCGTCGTGGTTGTCGTCGTTGTCGTCGTTGTCGGCGTCGGCGTCGTTGTCATGGTCGTGGTCGTGGTCGTGGTTATGGTCGTCGTCGCCGCCGCCGCCGTCGTCGTCGTCGCCGCAGCCGCCGCCGTCGTCGTCGTCGTCGTCGTCGCCGTCGTCGTTGTCGTCGTCGTCGTCGTCCTTCTCCTCGTCCTCCTCGACCTCCTCGACCTCCTCCTCTTCCTCCTCCTCCATTCCCTCTCCTTGTGAATAACTTTTCTCTTTCGCGCCCCGAGGCTGGTCGACAATGCGGGCTGGGCGTTTCGCCTGAGACTTCCTTTCCATTTATGACCCTGAAGCTTGAAAGTTTCACGGATGGAGGGCGGGTGGTTTTCCAAATGTGGTTCTCGCCTTAGCGCCGCGCACATTCGTTTTAGAATTTTGCAGAGTTTCGCGGATGGAGGATGGGAAGGTTTTCAACACGTGGTTCCCGCCCTAGCGCCGCGCGCGTTCTTTTCAAACGTATCACGGATTGAGGGCGGGTCGTTTTCAGAATGTGGCTCTCGTACGCATTCGTTGTACGCATTTGCAAGAGTTTTATGGATTAAGGGCGGGTCGTTTTCAAAATGTGGCTGTCGCTTTAGCGTCGCGTAACTTTGTTGTAGAACTTTGTAAGACCTTCAGGGACTGAGGGCGCTTGGTTTAAAAAATGTGGCTGTCGCCTTAGCGTCGTGCACATCCGTTTTAAACAACTGCAAGAACTTTCAAGGATTCCCATGGTTGACATACCAGAAATTGTGTTATGGAGTGGTTCAGGATTGTCAGGGCGCAACAGTTACGTTGATTCGCGGCGTCGAAATGACAGGAATGGTGTTCTGGCACGATTTGGGGTCGTCAAGACGCGACAGTAAGGTTGATTCGTGGCGTTGAAGTTCCGAGAATGGTGTTTGGCACGCTTCAGGATCTTCCAGCGGTTGTCTCCCAACGGGGTACTTATATTAAGTGGACATGAGCCCATGTAGGGGCCTATATTGTAAATAGGGAGCTGGAGGGAGGGTTTTTTCCAGCATCGTTGATGAGTCTTGGGTTTGTACTGTTCCTCCTCCCTTTCCTGCTCGTCTTTGTCCACCTCCTTCATCCCTCCCTCTTTCTCCTCTACCTACTCCTTCTGCTCGTCGTCGCCGTCCTTCTCCTCCTCGTCCCCCTGCTCCTCCTCCTCTTCCTCCTTCATCTTATTCCTCATTCTCCTTCTTCTGCTTATCGTCGTCGTCCTCCTCCTCCTCCTTCTCCTCGACCTCTCCCTCCTCGTGCTCCTCCACCTCCTTCTTCCCCTCCTCAACCTCCTCTTCTTGCTCGTCGTCGTCATCAGGCCAGCAGAGCCCTCCCATCCTCGTTGCGCGTGGCATTTATGAGGACGCTTGGCACAGACCACACAGACGGTGCGATGAGGTGAGTGGTCAGGCGGCGAGGGGGCGTGCGGCGTGCAGTGCACCTGCGGCAAAGAGGCCTCGGCGACGCTGGCACGCTGTAGCGCACTGGGGCCACCTCGTCGGCGCTTTGGCGCGCTGTGGATGCCGGGCTGGCTGACGGGCCCCCGCATGGCCTCGGGGTCCAGGCTGCGGCAGCGGCTGGGCGCCTGCCCAGGGGCCCCTCCCCAGGCCTGCGCCCGCACGCCGACCCTCGGGAGCAGCAGGATCGATCCCGTGGTGCTCCGCTTCGTGGGCGTGCCCCACACGTGGGCGGCGAGACAGTCTGGGAACCGCAGGTGCAGCCCCGCGCGTTCTGGAGGTGATCCCTGCCGCTGCCGAGCGGCGTGCGGCGTGCGGCCCTGCGCACGCACCCCGAGGGCGCTCGGCGTGGGCGCCTGCCGGCGCGGCCCTCCCCACGGCGCGCCGCCTGGGCGGGGGGGTGCAGCGGGCCCTTCGCCCCGAGCAGTGGCGAGGGCGCGGAGTGCAGCCTGCGCAGGCCGAGGGCCTCGGCAGCTGCAGGCCGAGGCCACGCGTGCCGCCGTCAGTGCTCGGGGCCACTGGCAGCGGGCCGGTTCGCAAGGCGGAGCCTCTCGCCAGCCGGCCCATCATCTGGCAGCCCTCGCGCAGGCTCTGGAAGCGCAAACTGGACGCGTGGGGGGCCAGCGTCATCACGGTGCCGTGCGTGCTCTGGCCCCGAGAGGGCGCTGGCGGCGGGCGAGGCCCTTCGCGCAGGGCCTTGTTGGCAACTCGACGAGCCGCCACTGGAGGTGGCCTTGGTACCCTCCACCACCGTCACCGCGAGTGCCCATCCCACTCTGGGCTGTGCCGAGACAGGGCGCCGCTTGGCCTTCGTGAGCGTGGGGCGAGGGTCAGGAGCTGGCGGAATGAGGCTGCCGAGCGAGCGCTTCCGCGGGGGGCTTTGGCCTGACCCTCGGCGCCTCTTTCAGCGCCTGGACTTGGAGGGTGAGTTTCGCTGGATGAGCAGGCCCAGTTATGGGCGGCTGAGTGGCTGCCCCTTGACGGCAGCTCCCTCCTAGGCCGCCTCCCTGGCCTGGAGCACGCTGGCTGGGCAGTGGTCCAGCTCCACCGATTCGGCCAGCTGGAGACAGCGGCTTTCGGGCCAGTGTCGACCTCGGCGGCACCCAGCCAGACGGCACCCGACGCCAAGGATTACGCGGCTCTCGTGCTGACGGAGGAGGCGCTGGCGCCGTTCCAGCTCCACCTGGACTGCGCAAACGCGCTGCGCGTGCCGGCAGGCGGAGCCGGCGCGGGGGCCCGAGGGCCTGACACGAGACCCCCTCTGGGGCCCATTGGGGCGGGCCTTCGACGAGGCCGACCTCGAGGCCAAGACGCTCGGGCAGGGGGCCGATGCTGCCATGGCGCGCGGCTGGCACGGCGTCGCCGAGCCCGAGGCTGGCCTCCGGCGCGGCTCGCGGGCGCCGGCGGAGGAAGGCGGCCTGCTGGATGGCTCCGTTGGAGGCCTCGTGGGCCGAGGACGGTCGCCTGAGCCACGACGACGTCGGGGAGGCTGGAAGCACTGAGGGCTGGGATCGCTGCTGACATAATGGTCAGAGGAGGACAGATCGCGCTCGCGTGGGCCTGTAAACAAGTAAGGCAAAGGGAGCCCACGCCCCAACCACAAGCAAAGAAAGACCTCATGGTAGCCCCAAGAGGCCCCCAGTGGGTCCGGCGGCGTCTGCAGGGAGTTGAACAAGACTAGGACGGCATGCCCAGCCTCAGTCAGCCTCGTGGACCTCTTCTAAATTCATATTTCCCAACCCTCCTGCGTTGGGTTCTCGTTTTGAATAGAGCACTGCTCGCGCGAACCTTCCTTCCTTCCTTCCTTCCCGTCCCTCTCTTCCCCCCTGCCTTTGACCTCGCTCGTCGCTGCGTGCCAGCTGGGGGGCTGCGATCTGTGAAACTGTCGCCACTTTCGAGGGCTGCTGGGGGGCCCAGCACAGTGGGCACCCACGGCGGATTCAAATGGGACCTCGCCATCCCTGGGGGGCTGCGATCTGTGAAACTGTCGCCACTTTCGAGGGCTGCTGGGGGGCCCAGCACAGTGGGTACCCACGGCGGATTCAAATGGGACCTCGCCATCCCTGGGGGGCTGCGATCTGTGAAACTGTCGCCACTTTCGAGGCTGCTGGGGGGCCCAGCACAGTGGGTACCCACGGCGGATTCAAAGGGACCTCGCCATCCCTGGGGGGCTGCGATCTGTGAAACTGTCGCCACTTTCGAGGGCTGCTGGGGGGCCCAGCACAGTGGCACACGGGGATCAAATTAGACCTCGCCATCCCTGGGGGGCTGCGATCTGTGAAACTGTCGCCACTTTCGAGGGCTGCTGGGGGGCCCAGCACAGTGGGTACCCACGGCGGATTCAAATGGGACCTCGCCATCCCTGGGGGGCTGCGATCTGTGAAACTGTCGCCACTTTCGAGGCTGCTGGGGGGCCCAGCACAGTGGGTACCCACGGCGGATTCAAATGGGACCTCGCCATCCCTGGGGGGCTGCGATCTGTGAAACTGTCGCCACTTTCGAGGCCTGCTGGGGGGCCCAGCACAGTGACCCACGGCGGATTCAAATGGGACCTCGCCATCCCTGGGGGGCTGCGATCTGTGAAACTGTCGCCACTTTCGAGGGCTGCTGGGGGCCCAGCGCAGTGGGTACCCACGCGGATTCAAATGGGACCTCGCCATCCCTGGGGGGCTGCGATCTGTGAAACTGTCGCCACTTTCGAGGCCTGCTGGGGGGCCCAGCACAGTGACGCCACGGGCGGATTCAAATGGACCTCGCCATCCCTGGGGGGCTGCGATCTGTGAAACTGTCGCCACTTTCGAGGCCTGCTGGGGGGCCCAGCACAGTGGTGCCCCGGCGGATTCAAATGGGACCTGGGGGCTGCGATCAACTGTCGCCACTTTCGAGGGCTGCTGGGGGGCCCAGCACCACGGCGGATTCAAATGGGACCTCGCCATCCCTGGGGGGCTGCGATCTGTGAAACTGTCGCCACTTTCGAGGGCTGCTGGGGGGGCCAGCACAGTGGGCACTCACGGCGGATTCAAATGGGACCTCGCCATCCCTGGGGGGCTGCGATCTGTGAAACTGTCGCGACTTTCTTAC